CTGGGACTCTCAGGGACAAAGGCAGGGAAGACAGTCGGCGGGCAGGGTGCACCCCTTGCTGCACGGGGCTCTTCCCACTCTGCCAAGAAGTCAGGGTCACTGACCCCCAAGGAGGGCTCCTGGCTGCAAGAGGATCTGCAGTCCGCCAAGGCACTTGGCTGTGAGGACCGGCTGGTCGCTCCCTGGGAGCTGCTGTGGAGACAGCTGACAGTCACTCGCTCCGCGGTGGGATTCCATTCAGAGGCCGAGGGGGCCTGAGCACGGGGGTCTGTGCCCGATGCTGAAGAGATGGTTCTTGGAAAACCAGCTCCTGGCTCAGCTTCCAACGGGACTCGGAGCAAAGCGTGAGCAGCAAATGGTCCCATCTGTGGGAGTGAGGATTTCCCAAAAAAGGACGTAGTATTTTTCCAGGGCCAAAATATAAGCCATACCCTGGGAAGGTATGTTCATTAAAAAAAAAAAAAAAAATGATCCCATCTGCAAACAGCAGAGAACAGTGGTCTTTCTCATTTTAAAACTCTCTTTTTTCCACGGAAAAACATTTAAAATTTGCACGTGTGTTTATTAGCCTGGGGACTTAGGAACAAAGCTACCTTGTTGGTTGCAGGCAGGGGACACCCACAGGGGCCTGCAGATGTGGCTCAGGGGTAGAGCGCTGGCCTCACATGCAGAGCCCCGGGTTCTACCCCAGCACCACAAAGAAAAAAGAAAAAGAAAAGAAGATCCAAAGGGGTTTCCTGCTCAGATCACTCACAGGGTTTGAACAGATCACTTATGCAAATCATGAGTCACTTCAACCTTGAGGCCGCTAAATAGGAGTTTATAGCCAAGGTACAGAGACGGTGGCTATCTTAGTAAAAAATATTTTTTGACTGTGAGAGATTTTTATTCAATTTGTTGGTGTTTGGGGCTGGGGATAGGACCCAGGGGTGCTCTTCCACTGAGCTACAGCCCCAGCCCATATATATACATACATACATATACACATACATGTGTATACACACACACACACACACACACACAGTTGTAGATGGACACAATACCTTTATTTTATGTATGTATTTTTTAATGCGGTGCTGAGGATCGAATCCAGTGCCTCATCCATGCTAGGCAAGCATTCTACCACTGAACCACAATCCCAGTCTCACCAGCCCTTATTTTTTATTTTGAGACAGGGTCTCGCTAAGTTGCTGAGGCTGGCCTCGAACTTGGAATCCTTCTGCCTCAGCCTTCTGAGTAGCTGGAATCACATGCAAGTGCCACTCCACCCAGCTGTAATAAAAATAGTTTTAAGACAAAATATTAATGCACTCTTAGAACATTGTTTTTTTTTTCACTTGACATTTTATCTGTCTGTGCCCGTTGTTATTACAAAAATCATAAATGTCAAAATTCAGTACAATATCTGCACCAGTAGTTGCTTAAACAAAAGTTAATTTCTATAAAACCATTAACTTAATGCAGTTCTACTAAAAGAGACTCAAAATTCCCTCAGTTAACAAGATATAAATAGTGGTCTATATGTTTTAAAGCAGAAAAGCCCAAAAAACCAAGGAGAAAATGTTAAATATTTTGGTCTGACGGTTCCTACAAGTGGTAACTTCCAATGTGTATAAAGGAAATGTTCATGGTTAAAACTCTAGAGTGCAAGTAGAAAAACAATCAGAATTTACCCCAGGCTACATCGTTAAGGGGCATTAAGTGGGGGCACCATGTATGGCCCCATGTCACCTTGTTCTACATGGAAAGCCTTTCCTGCAAGGCAAGTTGCAAAGTGTAAATGAGAACACAGGAAAAAAAAGACTCTTTTTTTTTTTTTTTTTTTAAGCTGGGCATTGAACCCAGGGGTGCTTTACCACTGAGCCATGTCCCCAGTCCTTTTTATTTTTTTATTCTGAGACAGGGTTTCCCTAAACTGCTGAGACTGGCCTTGAACTTTTGATCCTTCCTGATAGGAAGAGGTGTGCTTTGCTTGGCTCTTTTCTTTGCACAAATCACTACTAGGCATCTCTGTGAGGCTACTCCATGTACTGGGAAGCAGCCACGTCATTAGGAACTCACAGAGAAGAGCAAACCCGCTTTTCAAAACTACACCCATGTGTAAAAGGTAAATCACCACGCACCCCATTTATTGCCCCAGTTTATCGTGATTAGATATAACTCACAAAAAGAAAAATGGCAATTTCTAGTGACAATATTAAAACATATATAGACACTGGCATAAGGAAAAATATATGCATTTATTTTTTGTGGTAGTGGGGATGGAACCCAAGGGAATACCACTAAGCCTGCCTCATCCCCAGTTCTTTTAGGGTTTTTTTTTTGAGACAGGGTCTTGCTAAGCTGCTGAGGCTGGCCTTGAACTTTCCATCCTCCTGCCTCAGCCTCCTGAGCTGCTGGGATGACAGGCGTGCACCACCACACATGGCTTGTTCCCAGGTTTTCAAAGGAATTGTATATCCAGGAAGTAATGGTTTCACTGAGCATTATGTGAAAACCCCTCTTTTCCCCCCAGAATAATGTTCATGCTAAAACTGTGGGATGTGGAAAGTACTGTCCCTGCCCCCCTCATGAACCCCTTCAGGGACTGCTGCACAGGGCTGGTACCAGGACCCTCGGGAGGCAGGGTGAAAAACTAGAGGAGACAGGGTGGGAACTTCATCCTCCAGATCCCACTAGAACGGGGCCTAGCGCCATGTCCATTGCCTGGGCACCACCTCCTGAGGATTCTGGGAGAAACACACTCTTCCATGGGGCCGAGAAGGGTTCAAGCCTGCAGCTGTGACCAGAGAGTGGTGCTCCTGGGGATGGGGAACAGTGATGGCAGCTGCTCCACACACGCCCGGCCGAGTGTGTGGCCAGGCTGTGAGCAGCAGGTGACCGACAGGTGAGGACATTAAGTAGTGTCTGACTCCCGGCTTCTGTGCTCCTCCACTGAGCTCTTCTGGAGTCTTCTCCCCTCCCTGCATGGCCCAATGTGAGTGGAGCCTCCCTCTGTCCTGAGTGAAAACCTTCCCCCAGGAGCCTCCATTCCCATCAGGGTGTAAGTGTCGGCTGGAGCTTTCAACAGAAACACTAGCAGCGTCTCATGGCTCGGGATGACCTGTTTCCAGGTGCCTACATGGTTTTCTCAACAGAAGTGCCACCTTCCCCGACATCAGGGCCCACTTCGCAGCTCCCTAAGGTGGTGACGTGACCATGGAGACCAGGAGGAGGCTGCTCACTTCTCTACCTGCCCAGGGACTGTGAGAAGACAGCCCCTCTGAGCCAAGGATCTCTGCTGGCGACCATAATGCTGGACCGGGAGTCTCCTCAAGGTTGACGAGGGTAAAGAAGGGTAGGGAAGGAGAGTGGAAGAAGAGGAAGAAAGGAGGGAGGGACAGAGGGGAGAGAAGAGGGAGTCAGAACCCGGTTTGAAGGCTACCCATCACAGGAATACTGGTTTTATATGTCAGCTTGACTGGGCTACAGGGTGCCCAGATATTTGGTTAGTTCTGTGTGTCCACTGAGGGTGTTTCTGGATGAGATTAACATTTGAATAGGTAGAGTGACTTAGATGTATTGGACGCCATCCATTCCACTGAGGACCTGAAGAGAACAAGAAGGTGGAGAAAGCGGACATTTGCTCTCTGTCTCCCTGAATGCTGAGCTGGGGCTTTTCCTACCCTTGGATCAAATGTCACCATTGGCTTCCGGCTCACCAGCCACGGCTCCTGCTCCTCAGCCTCCACAACAATGTTAACCAATCTCTTATAGTAAATCTCTTTTTACACCTCCTATTGACTGTTTCTCTACTTCTCAGAGACCCCTGAAAAATGTGCCCACTACCTGCTCTAGAGCAGCTCCCAAGTTACTCTCTATCACAGGAGTTTATTGATTTTCTTTGTGCAGAGTTTCCCTACATGCAATGATACTTTTGGCTCCCTGCTGGTCCTATGTCCTACCCATAGAAATATAAGGCCTTCCAAAGAGAGCAGGACTGTCTTTCTTAATTAAAGCAGTATCTAGCATTTAGCAATCTCTCAATAATTATTAATGGAAGCAAAAATAGAGAGATGAAGGAAATATAGCAGATATATTATGAAGCTGGGCACATTGGTGCAGACTTGTAATCCCAGCTCCTCAGGAGGCTGAGGCAGGAGTTTCACAAGTTAGAGGCCAAACTCTGCAACTCAGAATCTTAAAAAGGGGTGGGGTTGTAGGTTGGTGGTAGAGCATTCTATTGCACATAGATTGATTTGTTCTCCAATCCTCAGTGCTGCAAAGAGAAAATAAAAAGATATTATGAGTAACAAAGGAGAAATGTTTTCCCCAAATGTCCCAGGAGCTTCTTGAGAGCCTTCCATCCAAGACTCTGTCGCAGCCCGTCCAATGCTGCTCACGGGACGTCTTGCATCCACCCGGGGACACACAACCTGTCTCACATGGTCTCCAACCGAAGTGCTGCGTTCCACATCCTGAAAAACGCTGCCTGTCACAGCCCACTACAAGAAAAGTTTTCCAAAAGTTCCAGAGAGGACGGGTCGGGGCCTGTAGAATGGCCCAGTGGGACAGGCTGAGGAGGACTCAGGAGGGGCTGGGGGACGGGAGCACCGTGACTCCAAAGAGACAAAGTGACTGTCCCTCCTCTGCAAGTTGCTGCCTCTCAGGATGAGGGCTGGGGTCTGCGTTACACCAATGAAGGTTTTTCCAGTGAAAAACAAAACAACAGCAGTGAACACCCTGTGGCCAGTTCTCGTTGCTTTCCTTGATAGCCATTTTTAAAAATTAATTTATCAAGGACCCAGGGATTGAACTCAGGGCACTTTAACACTGAGCTGCATGCCCAGCTCCACCTCCCTGTCTTAAAAAAGACAGGGTTGCTGAGGCTGGCCTCCCTTGTGATCCTTCTTCCTCAGCCTCCCGAGGAACTGGGATTACAGGCATACACTTTGTTCCACCTTAGCTGAATGGGGTCTCCTAGTCTGCTTGGGCCACTATAACAGAACAGCACACCCGGGTGATTTATAAACAACACATTTATTTCCCACAGTTCTGGGAGCTGGAATTGGGAGGTGGGGGTGTCAGGACTGAGCTCCATTCCTGGTTCATGGATGGCTGGTTTCTGGCTGTGTCCTACCTGCTGAGGGAGTGAGGGGTTCTCTGGCATCTCTACTTTGAGGGCGATCAGGAGAGTCCCACCCTCAGGACATCCCAAGGGCTTCACCCCCCTGGGGATGAGGACTCCACACAGGGAAGTGGGGGGGTCACAAAGGTCTTTTGCACATGGATTGACTTGTTCTCCATGCAACATCCCAAGGCTGCTGAGGCCTATTACATGGAGAGAATCCTGCTTCTGTGGAGGAGGCTCTGAACTGGAGGACCTGCCTGGGCAGCTTCCGGGCCTTGGGGGGAAGAGGTTGATCCTGGTCTCCCAAGCACAGCTCTGGCCCAGAAAAAAGGGCTGGAGATGCATCTTGGCATTTCCTGCAGAGACCCCGGCTGGACCCTCCCCCGCCCAGCAGCCTGCACCGAGAGTCGGCCCTGCTCAGGAGCGACCCACCCAAGCTCCCGGGGCTTCTGGGCGCTGCCATGGGTGGGGCCATGGGCACCCCAGTCCCCTTCACCGAGGAGGCTCTGTCCTGTTCACGGAGGGTGGCCGGTGCCTCCCTGTCTTCAGCGCTTTCCCCTCCCTCTCCGAGAGGCTCCGCTGGCTGGGGGTTGGCAAGGGACGCGCCCGAGCAGGGGGCTCAGTCGTCCTCGTCCTCGTCCTCGTCCTCCGCGTCCTTGTTGGGGGCGCATCTCTGGAAGCACTGCACGACGGTGGCCAGGAAGAAGCTGGAGATGATGGCCGCGATGGAGACCGCCACGCCCGAGAAGACGATGATGAACAGGTCGGTGAGCGACAGGCTGAACTTGCACTCGCTGAAGCTGGCCTCCGACAGCTGCCGCAGCGCCACCCTGCGGTTCTCCGGGGGCAGCGAGCACTGGATTTCGTCCAGGCCTGTGGAGAGGCGGTGGCCAGAGGGTCAGCCTCAGCCCCGCCCAGCGGGAGTCCCGCCCCACCCAGACACGAGGGGACAGGAGCTGGACCGAGCGGAACTGGGACTTCTCTAGACCTCAGAGTCACCATCGTGGGGAGAATCAGGACACGGCTCTTCCCTGGGCTCCTGGAGGCTTAGGGGCCGTTTGGGTTTGGAGTTAGGGTGGCATGGGGGTCTCTGCACTCCACTTACGGTTGGGGACCTCTCTAGACCCGGTCACAGCCAGCCATGGCGGGGAGCAGGAGGTGGCAGCAGGTGCAGGGACTAGGAGCAGGGCCCACCCGGTGGCAGGACCCTCCAGGCTGCAGGGCCACGGCCCCACTGGATGCCACGCTCCTCTCCACCATCCTCAGGGCGGACAGGAAGAGAGGCTTGCCACCTAAACCCCACCGCCCCGACACAGGAGAGGGGAGGAAGAGGAGGCAGCTGGAGGGGGCCTTCCGGTGGCATCTGGTACTTTTTATTTTTTGTACTGGGGACTGAATCCAAGGTTGTCATCCACCACTGAGTTACAGGTTTCATAAGCTGCGGAGGCTGGCCTTGAACTTGGGATTCTCCTGCCTCAGCCTCCTCAGCGAATCACTGGGACAACAGGCATGTGCCACCACCCCCAGATGGAGTATTTGGTACTTGGAACTTGGGTGAAGCTTCCGTGTGCTGAAGAGTCACCAGAAGACTGTGCTTGGATGCTCAGGGATCCCCAGGGATCCTTCTAGAGGTCCTGGGGGGCGGGGGGCTTCTCTGCATTTTTTTCAGTACTGGGCATTGACACTAGAGGTGCTTAGTCACTGAGGCACATCCCCAGCCCTTTTGTTTACATTTTACTGAGGGGCAGGGCCTTGCTAAATTACTGAGGCTGGCTTTGAACTCCCTGTCCTCCTGCCTCAGCCTTCTGAGTGGCTGGGATTTCAGGGAGGCACCACTGCGCCAGCCCACTCTGCATTTTCTAATAACTGGGGGATTCTGTTGTGGCCGGAGGCAACTTTGAGAAGCTTCACTATGCAAACACCCAAGGAAGGGGCCTGAGCCCACCCCTGATACGACCAGAGGAGGCCTCTTGCACTCTGCTTTCTGTATTGGGTTGACTGTAGGATTTCACTTGATGTTTGACTAATGTAAGAAGAAGCCTCAAACCCTCCAGTCTAGAAAAATGTTAACGACGGAGCCCATGCTGAGTGAGGGCTTGCTAATAATAACCACCACACCACCATCTGCACAAGGATGGCTCAGTAGGACTCACCCAGGCTCTGTGCTGAGCACCTGACTTAGATGAACTCATTTAATCCCTACAACAACTCCGTAGAAAGGCCTCAATATCAGCCCCACTTTTCAGATGGGGAATGGGCTCAGACAGGTGAAGTCACTACTCAAAGTGGGACAGCTAGTAAGTGGCCGAGCCCGGATTCAAACCCAAGCAACCTGGCTCTGGAGCCACTAGGCCTCCAAAAGGAAGAGAAAGGGAGAGAAGCCAGGAAGAGAGGGCAGGGTGGGAACAAGACTCTGGCACTTCCTCCCAGGGCTGCCATCAGGTAGCCACCTGGTGATGGGTAAAGGGTGCATAGCACGTTTAGAGACACCTCTGACGACTCCCCCGCTTTGGTGAGCTGTTACTCTTGGGGTCCCCCCGTCTGCCATCAGTGGAGTAGGTCAGAGTGGCAGGCAGGTGGAGTCTGTCCCTACCCTCATCTTAGATGAGCCTAATGGGTGACCTGCCCGAGGCACAGACACCGAGCACCGTGACAGGTGGCTCTCTAAGCACTCATTTATTGACTCAACAAACACGTGTTGAGGATCCTGCCTGTGCCGAGGAGCTGATGACAAGCAAGGAAAATAAGGACCCTACCACCCAAGGGTGTGAACTCTAACGGGAGAAGACAGACACTCATTCAATCATTCAACCAAAAAAAAATTTTGAGTAACTTACTTTGTGCTAGGTCCTGGGGCTGCAGCAGAGAACAAAACAAAACTTTGGCCTTCTTGTGCCTTATTTATTTGTTCGTTTGTTTATTTATAGATGGAGTCTTGCTGCATTGCCCAGCCTGACCTTGAACTTGCAAACCTTCAACCTCAGCATCCCAAGTAGCTGGGATTACAGGCCTGTGTCACCGCCTGGCCTCAGCTTGCAATTTGGATGACAAGGGAGTAGATCAAGAAATACATTAAACTGTTAGGATGTAACACCAAGGTGAAGCAGTCGAGGGTGAGCGGGAGAAAGGACTCTATAGATGGGGAGGCCAGGAGGAACAGTCTAAAGGGTGAGGAGGAACCAGCCAGGAGATCATTCTAAGCAGAAAGCCTGGCACAGGGCTCAGCATCTGAGAATCACAGCGTAGCCAGCAGAATGAGAAAGGAGAATTTAGTTATGAGCTGAGCTGGGAAATGGACCCGTATTGAGATGAAGTCTCTGACCGCCAAGGCCTGTGAGTGAATATTATGGACAGAGGCCCCATCTCGACCACCAAACCTCAGTGAACACGAACTACAGATACGGGCTGCTGAAATGCTGAGCCACTAAGGGCCACTTGTTACCAAGCACATTCTACCCATCCTGACTGACACATGCACAAAATGAACTATGTACCAACCCAAATGACTGCTGTGATTCTGCAGACCTCAGGTATAAGAGAACATGTGATATTAGAATGCACAAAGAGCTCCGAGCTTGGTTCTGATCTGGAAGAGGAAGGATAAACAAATAGAGCAGTTGTAACAGTTTCATTACGCTTACTACCTGCAGATATGGTTCTATGTATAGGGGACAGGGTGGGGACATAGCTCATTAGTGGAGTGCTTGCCTGGGATTCATGATGCCTTGCATTGGTACATAGTTCATACTATGCATGCATTAGTCAGGGTGGGTAGAATGTGCTTGGTAACAAGTAACCCTTAGTGGCTCAGCACTTCACTAGTCTCTATTTCTGGTTCAGGTCCTACGAAGTTTGCTTGTGGAGATGGGGGGCTGTGTTCATCAAACCCAGGACTGCCAAAACATGGAAAAAGAAAAAAATCCCAACCTAAATCTACCTTATCTATTAACTCAATTCTCACAGTAACGCACGAGGCCCATTTATGAGAAAACTGAAGGATCGTATGCTGGCCCAGGGCTTTCTTTGGCAACAGGGCTTCATAGTGGAAGTGGCAAAGTGAGGATCTGGTCCCGGCACTCGGCTCTGGAGGCCCACGCTTACCCTTGGAGCGTAAGGTCCACTTCTGCAGTGGAAGTAGCCAGAGAGATGTGAGGACATCATCCTGCCATTAACTCACCCACCTTCCTCACCACCTCCCAACTCTCGGGGAGAACTTCTCTGGCTGTTTTTCGGAGCTTTCCAGTTTCACAGAGCTGACCCTCACCCCATTCCCAGCATATCTGACAGTCAAGATGAAACCTTCCCACCTTGCTCGGCACCAGCTTGTACCCTGCAGAGAGCTGTCCTGTTAATTGCCCGGAACCCCGGTGACCACCTTGGGATTCTTCCCTCCTCTAGCTCAGAAGCACAAGATGAAAGGTGCGTGTCTGTCCTGGTCCATTTCTTGTGTGATCCACAACCCACCCACCAGATGCTGCCCTCTCGCCATGGGAACTGTTGCCTAGCAACCCGACTGCATTCTCTCCTCCCTGAATCGGTGCCTGATTTATAGACCCAAGGATTAGGTGGACCAGACCTCTGTGGGCTTCCCTGGCTTATACCTGGCCACAGCTTTTGAGTGTTTCTTTTTCTTTTTTTTTTTCTTTTTCTTTTCCTTTTTTTTCGAACCCAGGAACACTTTACCACTGGGTTCAATACCTTAGTACCAAAAATTAAAAATTTTAAAAAGGCCTGGAGATGTAACTCAGTGGTCTTGAACCCAAAGGTGCTTTGCCTTGTCAAGCCTCTTTCTTTTCCTTAAAGCAGCCAAACTTCTCCAGGTATAGCGGTGCCCGCCTGTCATCACAGCAACTCGGGAGACTAAGGCAGGAGGATCACAAGTTCGAGGCCAGCCCCAGCAACTTAGGGAGGCCAGCCCTAGTAACTTAGTGAGAACCCGTCTCACAATAAAAAATAAAAAGGGCTGGGGATGTGGCCCGTGGTAGAGACCCCCTGGGTTCCATCCCCAGTCCCAAAAGGAAAAAGCAGAAAAAGAAAAAGAAACCCAACGCAAGACTCCTTCAGAGCATTTTAGATGTTTCTGAATCACACAGAGGAGCCCTGAGGCAGTGTGTTGGGGGTCCCTTGAAGACTCTGGTCTCCTCAGTGGAAACCAGTCGCCTCCCTCCTAGCAGCCCACCCTAGCCAGAGGTGCCAGGAGGACAGATGCGAGGGACGGCAGTGGGAGGTGTGAGGCCCCGGCAGGTGCTGGAGCGGGAGGTTCCTTGCAGCCCTCCGCTCATATCAGGTCATGATTTAGCTGGAGGATCTTCCTAGAAATCCTCCTCCTCCGTGGGCAGCCTCAAAGCCCGGGGCACCCACTCCTGGGCTCTGACTTGAGCTGGCCTTGGCCTCCTGGAGTCCCCTCTGATTTCCCCAGTGTTCCCTGTGGCTTGAGATCTGTCTTGGCATTTTTACAAAGCGACGGTTTTAGAAATGTCACCTCCCATTCTCTGTGGCTGGGAGAAAATGGCCACGCAAGCCCCCACCCCCCCAACCCCCATGGGGACCAGCCAGCCGGGCCCATGCCCTGTGTGGTTATCGTGATAAGATGCACTGACTTAATGGCTTTCTGTGGCTCACAAAGGGCAGAGCAACAAGATGGGCCGGACAAAGAGAGTCGCCCAGTAGATGGCCCAGCAGAGGGGGGCAGGGGACGGCTCCTAGAGCCATCTGCAAAGGCGCCCAGACTGACTGCGGAACTCTGGAGCTGGGGTCTCTGGAGCTGGGGTCTCCTGCTGCTCTCCTGCAGGATCTTGGGTTGCTCGACCCCCGACTGCTAACTTTGGAGGCAGGAGGCATCTTGGTCTGGGGGTGCTGTCCCAGGTACTGCA